CCAGCAATAACTCAACGAGTTACAGTAACCAGCAAGAAGCAGAACTGTAACACTGGAAACTACAACCTACGACTGGTACAGGAAACTGCGAATCACGCGCCTACAGCCTGGTGGCCCCACAAGGGGGCCGGCGGATCAAAATGTTCGTCGCCTGCGGCGGGCTGTTTTTGAATTCCTTCCAGGTAAACGTGGAGAGCCCGCGACCCAAACTACGTTCACTGAGCAAACCAAACTTCGGCGCCTGCGGCGGGTTTCTTTTGCATTCGTTCCAGGTGGAAAACCTGCAACCCAAACCGCGTTCAGTGTACAAATCAAAATTGTCTCCGCCTGCGGCGGGCTGTTTTCGATTTCCTCCCGGGTGGCTGGCAGACACAAGCTGAGGGCCACGAGGTCCGCCGGCTCGACGCCCGCGTCGCCCGCGCCCGCCCCCTCACTCTTATCCGCAATGTGTGGGGTGCTATGTATCCAGGTTGATGGTGCCTGCTCTGAAGCATGCCCACCTTTTTGGGTATCCAGATGGGTCGTGCGCGTGCCAAGAGAGAATCTAGGAATTCGGAGCCCCCGGTTCTCGATATAGTCCCAAATGGTAAGGGCCACGTGATCTCACAGGCTCATGGCGGTGTGGCGCGTGCGGTTCGCTCTCGGTTGGCGCAGCTGCCCTGCCCTGGGGTTCCTCGGGGGGTCGCCCTGGCCAACCCCACCTACCGCCTCCTGGCAGAGTGGTCGTGTGACCTCGTGCGTGCGGTGTGGAGCGTGTGCCAGAGCTCAGGTCAAGGAGCTGAGCAATATGTGTCAGGAGAAGCCTGACACTGCATGGGAGGTCAAGCCCTTGGGAATGTTGAAGCAGGGGAAGGGTACCTCGTGTCGAAATGTGGAAGCGGTCACCCCTGTCCCCCTCAGGAGGCCATGGCAGACCCTGGTCTTCGGGCTGGCGTCCTGTGTCATCGGGACGATTGCTGAAAAGCGCAAGAGCGCAAGAGCGCAAGGAGGAGGAGGAGGAATAGGAAGAGGAAGAGGAGGAGGATGAGGAGGATGAGGAGGATGAGAAGGCTCTTTGGAGCCTTTTATGGGACTTCCTGGGGGTGTCCTGGGAGTTTCCTGGAAGCTTTTGGGGGCCTCCTGGAGGCCTCATGGGGCCTCTTGGGGCCTCTTGGGCCGTCTTAGGGGACTCTTGACCCGTCTGACGCCTATGGAGGTCGCTTTGGCGGCCTCTCTGGGCCACGGTGGTGCCCTCTTGGAGCGGTTCACAGCCGTCCCTGGGCCCTCATGCGAGCCCTTAGGCGATCCTCTTGGGCGCCTCTTCGGGCCCTCGTGGAGGCCTCTTGGGCTGCCTTGGAGCTATCTTGGAGGCCTCTTGGAGGTTTCTTGGGACGTCCTGGGCGGTCGGAAACCCAACCAGTGAGAACCTCGAAATCTTTCAAACACCTAAGGAAACAAATGGTTTGGGCCTCCTCGGGCTCTCCAGGAGGCCCTCTTGGAGACCTCCTGGGCCGCCATGAGGACTTTTTGGTCTGCCTTGAGGCTGTCTCGGGAGCCTCTTGAGCCGTCTTGGGCCATCTTGGCGTCATCTTGGTTGCCTTGTCATCCGTCGTGGAGGCAATGAGACTCCCAAGAAGATTTCAAGACAAATTGAGAGGCCCAAAAATCGGCCCAAGAGGTCTCCAATGGGTCCTCCAGGAGAACCCGAGGAGGCCAAACCTATTGATGTTCCTAAATTGTTTGAAGGATTATGAGGTTCTGGCATGTTTGGATCTCTGGCCGCCCAAGACAGCTCAAGAGGCCTCTCTGGGCCGTCTTGCTGCTCTCTTGGAGCGTTTCGAGGCCGTCTTGGGGCCCTCTTTGGAAGCCCCTTGGGCGATTTGTGGGTCTTCTTGGGCCCTCTTGGGGGCCTCTTGGGGGCCTCTTGGGGGCCTCTTGGAGGCCTCTTGGGCTATCTTGGAGCTATGAGGCCTCTTGGAGCTCTCTCGGGCAGTCTTGGGGACCTCTGGGGCCGTCTTGAGGCCCTATTGGGCTATCTTGGAAGCCGTCTTGGAGGCCAGCATGGCTGTCTGGAGGCCGAAGCAAGCGCCAGGGAGCAACTTCAGGAAGGTCGATGTTTGAACCCCACGTGCGAACCGGAGGAGGCTCGGCCCCAGAAGCAATTTAATTATCCTGGCGAAGGAGCCAACCATATGCAGTTGTGAACACCGCAAGTGTGAATATCTTTTTCCGTGGAGCTCCCTATGCGGCCTCGAAGCGCTGTACTGGGTGGGGGGAACGCATGCGGGCGGTGGCGCTGGGACCTTCGGTGGAGCTGCCTGTGCGGCCACGAAGCGCTGCACTGGGTGGAGGGGACGCATGCGGGCGGTAGCACTGGGGGCCTTCGGTGGAGCTCCTCATGGGGCCACGAAACGCTGTACTGGGTGGGGTGGGCGCATGCGGGCGGTAGCACTGGGACCTTCGGTGGAGCTCCCTATGGGGCCACGAAGCGCTGTACTGGGTGCGTGACGCATGCGGGCGGAAGAACTGGGACCTTCGGTGGAGCTCCCTATGGGGCCACGAGACGCTGTAC